ATAGTCCGAACGGTACCATTAAAATAGTTCGGTCGTTTTGTAATATGATTATTTAGATTCCGAAACTACAAGTATTTTTGCAAGTTGTTGAAGTAAACGTAGAAGTTGGATGTACTAATTAGCGGTTACTCTGAACGTAAGTAAAGCGAATATTTTAGAATACCTATAATCTGGCTAGTTTAATTTAGAGACTTTTAATGGATTAAACTAAATAAAATAGACTACTACTTTCACTAAAATTATAATAAGTCGGCCACTAAAAATAATATAAAATTATAGCTAGTATATTGGACTGAATTAAAATAGATAGGTATTAATGGGATTTATAAAGTTTGTTATTGACCGCTAACCATACAAAGGAAATTAATAAATAAACAGAAGTGACTAAGATAAATAACCCATTTAAGTAGTTAATAGATTTAATCAAATATTGTAGAAGGGGAATGGGGATCATTATAGAATAAAAAGGCTAATTGTGTACTCTTAATTAAAAAGGTGATTAATTAGAGACCGTGTTAGAGAACGTGAATTAGGAGCGCCGTCATTATTGAGGTAAGTTTCTCTGCCAATCCAAAATTGTTTTCTCGTATTATATGCTTAATATGCATTATGTGATTAAGTGTGAATTGTGAATTTTGTGTATGTGATTTTGAGGAGATATTATATAAATTGTAGTTGAGAAATATAAATTAAGTTCTTTTGGGGTATTAAATATTTTTAAATACCTTTGCGATTAATTAGAGAGATTGAGAAGTATTTTTGAAGTATATCTTAATTCAAGATAAAAGTAAAGATTTTATAAGAGGTGAGCACCGCGGGAGAAATCTGCGGTGTCAGTTTTCCACATCCGGATAAATGTGGAGGGTGATTAGGGTTACTACTACTAAGAAGTAAAGTTTGAGTTTGAAGTAACATTTGGATCTATGATCCCCTTTAAGAAGAAGTTATAGTAGTAGTCCCTATTCATTCAGAGATATCTTATTCAGGGGTAGTTGGTAGACTGAGTCCCGATTACTCGTGACGACTTACTACTCGGAGGGCTTGGAATCCCTTTTTGGGGGTGTGCACACTTAAGGTAGTCGTTTCGTTTCCGCAAGAGCAGTTGTGGTACCGGCACTTGTTCGGGGTGGCCGTCCGTAACCACGGTCCACCGGGCTCAGTCGAAAGGTTGAGCACCGCCCTTCTAAATTACTAGGAAGTTAGAGAAGAAGTGATTTTTGAGATGATCAACGAAGAAGAGAATTTTTTATGGAGTGTGTTATTTTTATATAGTATTATATAAAAATCTATTTTAGCCAAACCTGATTATTTTACGGGGTTGGGTAGTACTTACTTAGCTCTAAAGCTAAATTTTGTTTTCTTTCCTTGTTTTGTTTCTGCACTTTATTTGTGCAGGTGATGGTGATTATGTTGATTGTTGATTGCACGCGCCTGAGAGCGAGTTAGAAGTTGCCTTAGTTAAATTTAGTCTTGAAATAAACATTTATTTATTTAGTTTTATTGTTTTGTTTTAGTTGCCTGTGCATCCGGTTGAGAGATGACCGGATGTGGCGGTAACACCCATTTCCCTATTAAGACTTCCACTGTATTTTTCAAATGACTTTATCAATAAATAAAAGTTTTATTTCAATCTTATCAATGTTTTTGGGCGGGAAATTTGGGGGTGTTACACTAGCCACCTGCCCACCGCCACAGCTGTGACTGCCGCCTTCCTGTGACCAGCCCTGCTACTAGCACTGCCCCCCAAACCATGTCACAAGCCATCGCGAACCCCCCCCCCCCCCCCCCCGACCAACCCCGAACCTAGCCATTTCGACCTGGATCTGGATCAGCTCCACAAGCACTTCCCGCTCGCAATTCCCGATCCAGAAACCATAGGCATCGGAATTCCGCGGTCGCCGCTAATGAAATCCAACTTTTGTCGGTAGACCATGGACTTGACGTCAACGGCCGACGGCGACGGGATGCGCGACCGCAGGGCACCATCCACAACCGTACGAGCAGAAGGATATAAAGATAGAAAATAAGGAAGATGAGCGACAAACCTGGTCCATGACGACGAAGCAGACGGGATGCGCGTCCGCAAGGCGCCGGCGGCGGTTCTTTGATTGGCCGTCAAGAGTCCTGGTCTGAGAGTAATGAGATGCGGACGGGTCAAAGTAGCGGATCGGACTAGATTCACTAGATCAATTAATTAAGTCGATCAATTCATTTGTCTAGACATAAGATGATCATATTTTCAGAGAACTATCAAATAAGTACTCTTGTTTTTTTTGGTCAAGAAAACGGAGCACTAAAGGGCGCCCCAACCCTTGTCCATTAATAATAATAATATGAGGTGTTTCAACCCCTAATAAGTCAAAGTACAACCAGTATCCAAGGGACTGGACAGGGAGATCGAAAAGATGCAACCCCACAGACAGCGAATGGCCTAGCGAAGCTAAGTAGTCAGCAACAAAATTAGCTTCTCTATAAGACTATAAACATGCTCAATCAGGGGCGGATCCAGAATGTTCAGGGGTTGGGGGCACATATTAAGATTTTTTTTGAATAATTTAATAATTAAGTTGAAATGATGAAAGAATCCAACATTATCACACTATGAAGCATTACATTTTATTATAACGGTTTTCTACGAGTTTTTTTAAAAACGATTGACCACAACTTCGTGGCTAACCGTATCAAACACGTCTTTTTCAACGTAACATAACAAATAAGACGCAAACAAAATGCTTTGTCATCTCTTACATTAGATTCCAACCAACCTCTCGCATTAATAAATCAATTTTGTTTAAATAACGGACAAGTACAAATCAATTGATTATAAACATTTTTAGTAATTAATTCAAAATGAACATTGTTTAGTGAAGATATACTATTTGATACATTAACACTTTAACACTCGCCTAGTCACCTTTTATTTTTCAACACCTCCATTTCTGATGAAGGTGACATTTTTCTTTCAAAGTATCTCATTATTGTTGTTTAATCTGTCCAAATATATTTTGGTTCAAATTACACTTACGAATATCTGTAACACCCCGGCCCCACCGGACCCGAGGTAGTTACTCCGGACCACTAGTACTGTCCCCACAAACCACCACGAGCTTTTTCCGCACACTTTGTCCTCACTCGTGCGCGCTCTGAGAAACTTCCCAGGGGGTCACCCATCCCAAGACTACTCCCGTGCAAGCACGCTTAACTTTGGAGTTCTTGGTGATGAGCTCCCTTAAAAGGAGATGCATCTTGTTGGTATGAGTAGTACTATTAATCCATTTATATTAAATCTCAAGTGTTACAATCACCCCCACTTAGGACCGCAACGTCCTCGTTGCGCCCTTAAACCAATCTCAATCAAACCCCAGAATCTTTTTCCCCCTGCTAGGTGTCTGCCCGATATCCAACGGATCAGCACACTGTCGCAGGGTTGCTCTGATACCACCTGTAACACCCCGGCCCCACCGGACCCGAGGTAGTTACTCCGGACCACTAGTACTGTCCCCACAAACCACCACGAGCCTTTTCCGCACACTTTGTCCTCACTCGTGCGCGCCCTGAGAAACTTCCCAGGGGGTCACCCATCCCAAGACTACTCCCGTGCAAGCACGCTTAACTTTGGAGTTCTTGGTGATGAGCTCCCTTAAAAGGAGATGCATCTTGTTGGTATGAGTAGTACTATTAATCCGTTTATATTAAATCTCAAGTGTTACAGCTAGGGACTGAGTGCTGGTGGTGTTGAAGGACGTTGGTGGTGCTATAGCAGTGTCACTGTGCCGAGAGTTATGTCACTATGACCAGAGTTATGTCACTATGACCAGAATTATGTCACTTTGACCGGAGTTATGTCACTTTTATTGGAATCACTATGTCACTATGACCAGAGTCACTATGACCGTAATCACTATGTCAATCACTATGACCGTAGTCAGTATGTCACTATGTTACCGTAGTCACTGTAACCGATGGGCCGGAGATGGTCACCGGCCAGGATGGTAATGTGGCGGATCTCACTAGACGAGTCACGAGTTATGTCTCTGTCGGATATGTCACTAGAAATTAGGGGTAATTTAGTGAGTGAAATGTTTATCCTTCATATTTTTGGAAATTAAATAAAAATGGGGAAAGTTCCCGAAATATGACTAAAAAAGTTTGAAAATTCCAAAATAGGACTGTCATGTTTTTATTCCCAAAATAGGACTAATTACTGCCAAATTTGGAAAATACTGTCATGTTTGAAGTCTGGTACCGCCAAAACATGACAGTAATTAGTCCTATTTTGGGAATAAAAACATGGAAGTCCTATTTTGGAATTTCCAAACTTTTTTAGTCCCATTTTGAGTAATATCTCATAAAAATGTCACTTTTCTGTTCACTAATCAGTAATCTTTGTTAGTACTCCGTAATATTCAACAAAGTCAAAACGGATGTTGAATGGGATGGAGGGGATATGTTCCATAGATTTATAAGCCCTCGAGGCCTAGATTTGTTTTTGAGGTAACAAGCGAATCATGAGTAGATGAGAGAAACGAGAACTTTTACTCTTTTTAATTCTTAAAAGTTTTGGGATCGATTTTCTTCTTCTGGTTTGTCTTCTCTGTTTGGCATCAATATCGACCCCAAAATCTTTTGAGATTTAGGCTTGGATGTTGTTGTTTTATTCTTAAAAGTTGCTCGGAAGATCCACAAATTTGATGAATTCAGAAGTCTTCATATAGAACACAAATTGGATGGATTTTCATAGAGAAATGTATTACTCCCTCCGTGCCGTTGGACTTTGCCAACTTTCCATTTTTGGTTGTCCCAAAAAACTGTCACTTTCCTATTAAAGCAACTAAGTTGTGGTTCTGCATATTTCTCTCTCCTCTGTACAAATCTCAACCCCACAGTTTTTACTATTCTTATTTCTCCCATACTTTGCACTTGTCAAAGTCTACCGGGACCGAGGTAGTATTTATTTGGAACTTGCCATAGAATAGGATTCTCATTCCTTTTACATCTGTGTGAGCTTTGCCATAGAATAGGATTCCCATCCCATGGTACAAGATTAATAATTCAAACCGATCAGTTCACTCTTTCAAAATAGCTGTTGTCATCTCAAAAATAAAAAAAGGTATTCCTCAAATCGGCATTGCCTTATTGCCTCAAACTCAAACAGGAAAACAACCATTCCGCCCACCGCTACCGTCTTCTAACGACTTCTCCGGGGCATGGACGCCGACCAGTAAGTGCAAAATTGCCGTCTGCCGCCGCCTTCTGCTGTTCACCATTTCGTTTGACTCTACGCTTCATTTCTCTCATTACTCATTACTTTGTGCGTATTTTGGGGTCATACATCTCCATAAGTTTGTAATTTTTTGTTCATTGTTTTCCCTTATAACCTGATACGTTTCAAGCTTGGTTATAATTAAAAGGCCCTTTTTGTGCTTTCCCTTACTTGAGTAGTTGAGTTGCTTCTGCTTGTCTAAAGAGAATTAAAGGAGTGAAGCGGTGAAGCGTCTTGCTTATGCCGATCTTCAAATGCTACTGTGAAGGAATACTGGAATAAAGGTTTGTCCTAAATCTGTAATATGAAACAATTTATAAATTATTATTGGGTTCGTATGATCATATTGCTTATTAGGCTAACCGCAACCCGCCTCTGTCAATATATCAAATTTACCAGCTTTTTATACGTATTCATTCAGACAATCAGTTTTTTTCTGCAACCCAGCACCTAGGTCCGGGATTTTGGAACCGGGAACCGAAAAAATGTTTGGAACCGAACCGATATGAAACGGTCCGGTCCGGTTCCTGTTTTTAGGAGTTAAATACTTACCGGTTCGGTTCCTAATGTAAACTACCGGTTCGGTTCTCGGTTTTACATAAAAATATATTCAAGAAACCGATATAGAACCGTTAGTTCATTCTTAGTGGGTTATTCTATTCCGTAGTCCAAATCAGAAATAAAAAATATACGCAGTACAACTCGCAGCCCATTCGCAGCCCACAACTCCTTTAGTCCGCTTCAGGCTTCATCGAGCGCAACAAGGATTTGCCGATTAGGAGGAAACCCCTAGCCACACCGCTCATCTTCTACTATGCTCTTCCATTCACTCTGTCAAAGATTTCACGGATTCATCAAAGGAGTCAAGGAGAGGTCATAGACAGTAGGTACGTTTTTCTTGCTCATGGTATGTATTTAATTTAAACTTTCGAACCTCCTAGCAAAACCAACGAAGCTTCTGAAGTTTTGAGAATCCGTTTGTGAAGCAAGACTGCCAGTGTGACAGAGTTTTGCAATCTCCTTTCTAGAATATGGTCATATGGAACATCAAAATTAAAATTGAAGCTTTTAATTTGTTTCGAAAATTGAAGTTTCTGACTTCTGTTTTGGAGGAGTTTAATCTCTTCCTCCATTTTGTTTGTAAATTGGGTTTCCACTACATTTATCATCTTTTTCACACATCCTAATCTTTCTGGTGATTTTTTTTAATCCTTTCTTGTATTTATTTTCCACTGTTCCATTTTAATTTCTGTATGCATATATACATAAACAATATGAAAAATAAGCTAATTGCATCCATTCTTTGAATAGTATTAGGACTAGATTTGATAATGACAACTAAAGCATACCAAATGTTTGAAAAATATGTCTATAACATACGTATTACCCCATGTTTCATTCTAAAAAACTGTGTTTTTTTCCAGCTATTAATATGCAACTTCGATTCGTCAAGACCAGATTGCAGCATCATATGACATAAATATGATGTTAATTTTGAAGTTATGGACTGAATTAATGTACTTCTTTTTTGTAAGGATAATTGTACTTTTTTAAGCTCTAGTTTAGTACTTTTTGAACCATTTAACTTTCATGTTTCAATCAATCCTAACTTTTAACAATCCTGAACTTGTAATTATAAATTTGGGGGTTATTTGAAATGGGGTTATAGTTAGATTGATTGCAGCTTTGTGGAGAATTTTAACTTTTTTTTTTGTGGCGGAAATTGGTGCATTACAGTTTTTTAAGAACCGAAAAATGTCAAGAACCGAACCGTTAACACTTGGTTCGGTTCCATAATGGTTCTAGAATTTTTTGTTGGGAACCAAACCGATATAAAAAAATTGTGATTTTACAAACGGTTCCTCCAATTTTGAAGAGGAACCGAACCGGTCCCAGGCCTACCAGCACCGTCAATATATTCACTCAGCACAGTTTTTTTTAAATAAATTTATAAATTCTTACTTTTATTATCACACGTTAATCTTATGACAATTTTTTTTACCAATAATTATGATTTTAAAAGTAAATCATTTCGATGTAAAAAAATATTTTTTTGGAAGGTATAAAAATATGCACAAATGAGCTTAATTTCAAATAAATTGCACCAGCGAATCCAAATAAATTGCACCAGGTATTAAAATATGAGCACAAATGAGCTTAATTTCAAACAAATGAGCTCAAGAAAAGTAACCCATGCGCACTCCAGCGAGTCCAAAGCACCGCTGTTGGTAGCTGACTACTGTGGCCCACATGTTGGTAGCTGCTGCCTTTCTTCTGTTGTCCAGCAGCCAGTGGAAATAGCGGGTCAATGTACCCACCGAAATCTCTCCCAAGGGGTGCCATGACCCACTTTGGCACCCCACAATACATGGTTTGCAATGCTTTATTGGGGTGAATAGAATGGATTTGGCCTATTCAACTATGGGTTGCAAGCAGCCTTAGGGTGTTCTGGATTGGAAATTTATCTAATTTGATATATTGGCATTATTATGATAAATACAAGAAATAATTTTGTGTTCTTAATAATTTTGCACTTCAAAAATCAAGAAACGTATGCCAATAGGGTAAAAAGAAGTACACGTTACTGTATACGATAGTATTTTGCATATCATGATATTTGAGAACTTATTCTTGATGCCATATTATATGGTGAATATGCTTTGTTTCTGGTGTATCTTTATTAAACTTATCTCATTGTTATGTTATATAAATTACATTAATATGATCTGTAAATATAAATGTTTTTGTCTAGGGCCGTCCGCCATATTGCTCAAGCCGCCCTTGATCAAATTTCAAGTCAGCAAGTCTCTCCAACCACTACTCTGGTCTTTGTGTAATCAAGAGATCAGGTGAAGCCTTTCCCCATCTGCAAACATGCTTAAGGTGCCCAAACATCAAGTTGCAGGACATCAAGCCCTAAATGGGAACCTTGGACCCCTTGTAGATGATTCTGGGCTCTTCTACAAGCCTTTGCAGGGTGGAGGCCGTGGGTCCCATGAGGTTGCATTCTATACATCCTTTTCTTCAAACCCTGACATCCCAACTCACATCTGCCGGTTCTTCCCTAAATTTTATGGCACTAAGCTACTGGAGGCGTCCGACGGCTCCGGCTTGCTGCCCCATCTAGTCTTGGAAGATCTCACCTTGGGTCTATCCAGCCCGTCGATAATGGACATAAAGATCGGTTCGAGGACCTGGCCTCCGCAGGAATCGGAGGACTACATTCAGAAATGCTTGAAAAAGGATAGAGAAACAAGTAGCCTCACCTTAGGTTTCAGGCTGTCGGGGTTGCAAGTATACGGCAGCAAAGAAACTGAGTATTGGAAGCCCGAAAGGAAATATGTTCAGAAATTTTCTGCGGAAGAAGTTAGGTTAGCTCTAAAGAAGTTTGTTTCTTCAAACATTTCAGATGGCATGGATTGGAAGCCAGATTGCTCCTTTGCATCAATGGTTTATGGTGGCTCCGGCGGGATTTTGTCACAGTTGCTGGAGCTGAAAGCTTGGTTTGAGGATCAGACCATTTTCCATTTCTATTCTTGCTCAGTTCTTTTGATGTACGAGGAGAAAGGAAAAAGCCCGGCTGTTAAGCTGATTGATTTCGCTCATGTTGTGGAAGGCAGCGATGGGATAATCGATCACAATTTTCTGGGGGGGCTTTGCTCCTTTATAAAGTTCATGTCTGAGATTCTTACAGCATCACCTGGTGATCATAGAAATGAACTCGAATCCTCCGTTTAAGGCAGAGTGCATTGGCCAATAGAAGATTTTGGTAGCCAGTTGCTACTGGATCACTGGAACAATGCCGCAAGCAGCATCCCATCCTACATTTTCCATTTAAATTAATAAGATTTTGATGCTCTGAATAATGTAACTGCACATTAGTGTTCTGCCTATTCGAATATGAGAAATTCCAAGTTCACAGTAATCAGCCCATACCACACACACGCACAGATGCAATTTTCTAATCGCAATTCATTTCATGTTTAAATTTCAAGGTTTGATAAAGAATAACACGTCTATTTTTTTGATTAAATGTTAAACATATTGAAGGATAACAAAACCGATGTATACAAAGGGCAATGGGGCATGCCCCAGATCAACTAAAGCGGTACAGAAACAATTGCTCAGACAAATAAAAAACTGAAACGACAAGGCAAAATATGAAAGGCACAGCAGTTTCAAAAGCAAACGTAAATCTCATACATGTCGGATATAGGTTGAAAAGAATGCAATAGTCCTGCCACTTTGGTCTGCAAAAAAACTTTGGTATAATCACTCATTTATGCGTAAAAATGGTTTTGTTTCTATCTTTCCAAACAATATAAACAGTACAACAAAAGACGATCCTTCCAGTTTTGCATTTTAACCTTGCACCACCATAATCTTTAATGCATATTTTTACTGTACTCAAAAGAATTGTTGGGTTACTTCTAGATTTCAACCAAAATCTCACTTCTTTCCAAACAGGCTAGTAAAGGGGCATAAAAAGAAAAGATGGGAATCAGAATCTAAATGGGACTTGCAGAAGCAACAAGTCCTCCATGTCAATGTACATGAGATTGTCAGAAATGGGCAGCCTATTTATAAGCCCCATCCATAATATAAAGGACTATTTGGGGGGAATATATTTTTTTCCATATTAGGTTCATCCAAAGTTTAGAATTAGCCTTGATTCTCAGAAAATAATAATCCTGGTAGCAGACGGCTTATCGTGAAAACAAAAGTAATTCCTAATTAAAATTGTGGGATATTCTTATTCCAAAAGGTATAGTTATAATCATTAGCAAGGCCCTTCTACAATTTAGGTCAGACTTGCTGTCATGCAGCGCCAAAATGTATAAATAAAAGATGATGCGAAAGCTTCTCAATTGACCCGCTTTTTTAATTGATTCTCAGCAAGTATAACTCAAAACATGGTACTAAAAGAAGAATTTAATATTACTCGTTTTAAATATTTTCATCATGTCAATGGCCTTCCGCTGTTCCACAATGATAAGATTCCTTGGCTGCATAAATCTTAATCTAAAGAGTATTCTCAACGTACACTTTCACCGAAACCCAACGCATGCCCAAAAGAATGCTTGAAACTATAATATTTAGCAAACAAAGCAATGTAGGAGACAGGAAGAATGTTGAAGCAGAAGTCTGTCCTCCTCAAGTCAACCAGACCAACCAATAGTCTTGTTGCTCCTGATACCGAAACTTGTCGTATCTGACTCCTCTGCCTGCGATGGTGGAGGCCTAACCTCCCTTGGCTTGGCAGGATCAACAAAAATTACCCATCCATCCAAGTACTTTGCATTCATTTCTTCACGAGCTTTTTGAGCTTCTTCAATTGTCTCATAGGTGACAAATCCAAACCCCTTCGATCTCCCTGTGGCTCTATCAGTAATCACTTTTGCTGCAAAAAAGAACCAAGGGTTGCATTGACTAAATGGAAGTTGGCAAAAAAAAAAAAAATCAAGAATTTCATTACCTTCAACAAGATTCCCAAATTGCTCAAATGCTTTCCTAAGGCCTTCATCTGAAGTGAATCTTGCGAGGCCTGCCTCATTGGTGCCGAAGAAATGGTCAGTCAATATTCAGTACAATTGCATGGGACTTAAACAAATTTCAATTGTTACATCGTCATTAAGGGGTATGGTGTTCTGTACGGTTGTTATATGCTTCCATAGTGCCAAAACTGATAATTATCCACACCCAATGTCCAATGAACGGGGGGCCAGTTTATACGGAACACGTTTCTTGCTTAATCTATTCCAGGTTTCCAGCAAACTTTTTTCTTCAAGGAAAATTATATTTTATTTTAGCTGGCCTTTTTTCAAGACAGTTTATAGCTTCAATTAGATATAGTAATGGAGGTTTCTTGGTGCTATTATGAACTAGGAGCATACTGTGATAAAATATTAACAAGTAGGAAGCGAAGGGTACACTAAAGATGATGGGGAGAGCTAACTGAAGTGAGTTTTGTACTGATGACACTACACAGGTGACTGAAAATGACTCAAGGGATGAACTCCAAGCTAGAGTAGTGCAGGGTAGGATTAGGCCACTGAAAGCATATTAGCCCCAAAAAAGCTAAGTATCTCTAGGGCAACTTTGCTGAGAAACACTGAGAAATGAGTAGAAGTCCGAAGTGGGAAGCAAAGAAAACTTCAAAAATCAAAGTTGTAAGTATTTGAATTCAATCATCTACACGGAGGGAAAGATCGACAATGATGTCACATACTGTATTAAGGATGACTAATAAAATAGAGGGTTTAACTAGAGTGTAGTGCGACATGAATGTCTCGCTGAGATTTAAAAGAATGTTACAGGACAGCAATCCAGACAGCCTCAATGTATGATTGTATGAATCGGAGTGGGCACTAAAAAAGGCGCATGAGCGAAAGTGGTGGAGATGAATATTGTAGTGGACATCTGGTTTGACAGACTACGAATATCGAGCCTATAATTGAGAAAGTAAGAGAGAAACGACTTAGTAGTTTGGCGGTTTGGCCATGTCTGTCTGAAAGATGCAGCAGTATGTATGAGTTTTTTTTATCTATAGTGTGGGAAGGAGAGGCAGAACAATGAGAACTTGAGAATTGAGATGAGCAGCAAAGGCTGGACATGGTGGTCTTAGACCTCCCCAAGGACACGATCTCCAACAGGGGTATGTAAATACGATGATTTAAGGTTGTGGAGTTCTTGTAGGCTCCAAAAGATGTTTGATGTTGGAGCCTGTGCCTCTCTTAGCCATTTTTTCGCGTGATCATTTGTTTACTTTCTTACCATTTTTTTTTGCACGTTGCATCACTGCCATTCACTACTTACTGAAAGTCATTTTGAGAGGTCTCTCTACATTAAGGGAAAGACGTTAGGTCTGCTTAAATCTTACCCTCTAACACTCTCCCTCTAAGTATGATATACCGAGTCTGTTTGTTTTGGTTTAAAAAAGATCCATCCCCTTACCTTTAAAGGGCTTTACGATTCATACGAAATTAAAAAAAATCACAGTCTAAACAGGCCACAATTCTTAACCATAACTATAGTCACTAGAGCGATGAATAAAACGAACCTAACAACAGCCAACATAGGGAACAGCATTTCAGAAAAATAATAATAATATGGGGTAAAATTTAGGCCTGGAGAACTATTTCTGAAGCAAAAACCCATTCAATTGAATTACAAAAGATACAATATGATATCTTATAAGGACTTCTAAACCCATGCGTTTGGACATGATTTTGAGGCATTTACCACTGACGAAGAGCTTTGAAGTAGTAAGGGTGGAACAGAGTCGAACTGAAGCGAATTGGGATACAAGATTTGATGAATGTGCCAAATATCCCCCAAAAAAACCTCGGAAAGCTGAGGAAAATGCCATTTTCTGGGACAGAAGAGAGAGAACGAAATTTCTTGATTTCGGGTCGAAGTGCTGAGCAAAATATGGCTTGCTTTCGAGTAGGGTTTTAGACAGGGAAGATAGCCGAAAATAAGAAAAACGCCTCTACGATTTTTTCAAATTACATTAAATTACATTATATCCGACTAGACCAAATCAGACTTAAACAATTATAAAATATATAAATATCAGACAATACCAAACCAATTCAAACAAATTCAGGTCAAACAAGACACCAGAAAATTCAATCCAAGTAAAAGCATCTTTAGTATATCCTCTGCTAAATTACCCAATTGGCAAAAAAAGAAAAGCGCCCTTTTATAATTGGATAAAAATGAAAGCTACTGTGATAATATTGATAATTTAAAAATGTTATGGTATTATAAAGCTCATTTTTTGTCAACTTATCAAAAAATGAGCATGTAGTAGAGATGATCAGATTTCAACACTATATGTACATGTTGGGTTAATGACCCAATTACGGGTCGGCCCATTATTCCCGTAACGAAGATCTTCAGGGTCAAATAAGAGAAAGGCCCAAGACGCTCATCTTCAGACTACACGGCTACAGGGGGAGTACCGCAAGACGTTCGTCTGAACCATCGAAGTGCCAAATGACAATCTAGCGCCCATGGCCAGATGGTCTGCTGAGGACGTACGGAATCTAGCCCTTGGGCCACCAAAGCTAAGAGCCCGAGATCCTGAAGACAATTGTCCTCAAACCTTGGCGAGAAACCAAGATATTGGCAGGAGGCGCATTCAATGCGGTAAATTTGGTGATTAGGAAGCTAGTCATCCATGACCCTCCACGTCATCAGTAGTAACCTACCCCTTGGAGTAGCATATTTCATTGTAGAGGATTGACAACTTATTATCCTTAACATTTAGCAATTATCTTAGCTCTTCTTACTGAGATAGACGAACGGCCTCCGGCCAGGTAGTAGAAGAGTGTTGTATATGTACCCTTAATCACTTAATAAGATATGGCCCACTTGTTACGGATACCTTGACCCAACTTACTGCTCGCAACTCATTTCTCCAAACTCTCCACTCAAAACCCCAGGTAAACATGTTGGGTTCTCGGGTTGAAAGAATAAACCTCAAGAATACACAAATTGAGAATTGCAAAGGAACAAAAAGGATGTTACTTCTACACGCCGATTTACACGTCAATTTACATGTCAAATGTATTTTGTCTGCGCACACAATTTATTTTCATTTTAGTAATGAGAATTGTTTGTGATCCGAACTGTCTGTGCACAGACAATTCGTTTTTTCGTGATCACATACAGTTCTTTTTACTAAAATGAAAACCAATTTGTACACAGATAAAATAGACGAGTGTAAGACGAGTGTAAATGCGCATGTAAGACGGCATGTACAGATAGCATTTTTGCGAAATTAATGTGATGAAGACTTGAGCTAATTAGACGAGTGTCATATTTTTTCTCTTTTTTCCCGACCTATGATGTAATGAAAAATATGAGCAATAATAAAACGAGAGTGAAACATGAGTGCTTGTCGACAACATAGCTTTTTCCTTGCTTGTCGAGAGTATAATGAAGCGCCGCCCTTGGCGAATCAGTTTTTGTATTACTACCGGTTTTATTTAATCTTTTGACTTCACA